TATTATTGCTATTATTACTATTACCAAACTCTATATTTTTACTTTTAATGTTTTTTTAAAGGAAAACATTTGTTAGCTGCCTTTGAAAGTGCACCAGAACAGAAAGTTTGCAAGTACATCAATAACAAGAATAGAATAACAGAAAAATGGAGAAAGGAATAGTGGCTCAAAGGTGCATAGCTATACATATCAGCAATGAGATTAAAAAGATAGTTGTAGGAACAAGATTCCCATAGAATCCTAGTCTAGGGAAAAAGATTGAACACTCAAGAAGTGTAAACCTATGAGAGGAACAACAAATAAAAGACAATAAAAGCTGGAAGTGTTATATACAGATGTCAGAAATTTGTTGTAGAAAGAAAAAGTTTCCAGAATGACAATGATGGCTACTCTTTCACAAAGAAATGTTGCATTGTTGCATTGACATTTTAATCCAATATTACTAGAACTGAAGGAAGTTTGGGTATTTACAATCTTAAGGTCCCCCAATGGATATTGACTGTGAACAATTATTCTATCTATCAAGCAGCTAAGTTACAGCTTGATTGGTGCTGTACAACTTTGTTCTCCCTCAGTTCCTAATTGATATAGCCCATTAATAGATGCACACCATGTCAGCATAACTTTGTTTTTCCATTTTATTTTATCCCCGCAGCTACTGCTTTGTCATCTTGTCCATCAGTTTCCTGAATCTCATTTGCTTTCACTGCTAATTCAGTCCTGTTGCCTGTGATTGCTTCCAAGATTGTATTTACGTGCCTGTGGCATCTTCATGTCACCTGTAAAGCCACAGCATCACCCACAAAATCAAATCCGTTACTAAAACATTAATTTACCATGTTTAATGTTTTCAGATGAGGCTTGATAATAAAGGAGGAGGAGGAGAGGAAGCAACCTAAATTAAATTACTCAAAATGGAATGTACTTTTCCACAGTCATAAAACAAACATCTAATGTGAAAAAGAAGGAACAGTCCATCAAGTTTATTCCCAGAAGAATAAAACTCTTGTTAATGTGTCAGTACACATTCCAGGATGCATTCTTCTTTCCATTGAAGTCTGAGAAATGAGTAACTTATGAATTTTGGTTAAACACAACAATTTAATTTTCTGCTGCTAGATGAAGTCATTTAATGGCACAACAAGCAGTGGAAAACAAATAAAATTAAAAAAAAAAGGAAGAAATCTAGCTTTGGTTTACACTCCCTATGCCAACAGTGTGGGGCTTATTATGCTTTTTTCTCTTGTGATGGGCAGTTTATTTATTCTTCTACCAGCTGTATTAATTTAATGTATTATTCATCTGATGAGACCACAAGAATATTTAGCAGTTTATTTTCTTCTTGTGCTGTTTCTTAAGTGGATCCATATTTGTCCTAGGTGGAGTATAACAACATCCTTTGTTGCTGGGATACTATGATTCTACTGTAATTTATTATTTTTTAGCCAATAATTAAGATATGGTAGCCTAGAATTTCACTTAACAATTTTCATGAACTGAGTGCAGTTGTTGAGTCTGTCAAGCTATCAATGAAAGGGAAGTCAGGAATTTCCTTTCAGAGGGAAGCAAATCAAAACGACAAAAATCTAGAGAGATGTGAAATTAGTTTATGAAAAGAGCCTTTGACTTTTTAATGTCAAGCTCTGCCAAGATTAGAGCATTTCAAACTGCTTTGGCTTTTGTATTTCTTTAGCGAGCCAAATAACCAAACAAAGATATTGGCTGCATTCAGTAGTTGACTGGTGTTGCTTGTTTAGAATTGAAAGAGTCAAATTCTGTTTTTAGTCCTGAATCTGGACTCCACAAACATCCCCGATATGGAAACTTCTTCACAGAGGGCAATTTTATTCCATTCTCCCACCCCCCCATGCAATGATTCAAAGGCTTTTTGCATCTTTGGTTTTATTTAGCCAAATATTCAATATACTCATCAGGAACCTTATTATAGTGGAATCATACAAAACACTTGTTTCTGAAGTAAAGAACAAAAAAAAATATCCTTGAACCTCCTTACTTTTTTTCTAAATAGAAGACATTGTTCCAGAATAAGATTACTGAGCTTTAAGACAAAAACAGCCAAATCCATTTAGATTTGTCATTGGAATGAAGTTTGTCACAAACTGCTCTCTAAAATGGAAGTTCTCTACTTTCACAAGCCTTCCCCCCAGCCCTCTCTACATGGGAACTTCTCTCTTACACAGGAGAATTCCAAAATCGGTCATGCCCCCAAACTACACATGCAAGTCTCTCAAGCAATTGGAAGAAACGAGGACCTGTCTCCGGGAAATCCCTTACAAAGGATTTCATGACAGTTAAACTAGCACTGAGCCTTGCTGAAAAACTCAACACAACTGTGTTTTCTTCTCAAGGTGTTGGAATCTGTGTTAAAGGATCAGTATTTTTCCTACTGGTTTTCATTGCTCCAGGATTGTCTGTACTGTATTAATGTTGTGCTAGCACTTTGTATAGGAAAGGTCTCAGCTGTAGGCACACTGGTGTGGTGTGACCTTCTGAGCTTGGTTGCTTTCTTGCAAACTTTCAATGGGGAGTGGGGGGTGCAGTTTTCAGCACACTTCATGACTCCCTTTGTGAATAGACTAGACTAGACTAGAATAGAATAGAATAGAATAGAAAAGAAAAGAAAAGAAAGAAGAGTTGGAAGGGACCTTGGAGGTCTTCTAGTCCAACCCCCTATTTAAGCAGGAAACCCAACCTCCCTACCACAAAATGGCAGGCAGGTCCATGGGTCAATCGTTATTTTGAAACTTTTAGCTATTTTAATGAATGTAAATTTGTTTTGCCTCCTTTTTTCTTTCTTTATTTCCTTGAAAAATTATACATCTGTTGTAAAAAAAGAAAATCAGTTAAAGGAGTTTTAGGGAGAATTATAATATCAAAATCAATATTTGTCATAATTTCTCTCTGTTCTGCATTGGTCAACCCAGATATAGATATTATGTCTAGATCTTGTCACCACATTTTAGGAAGGATACTGACAAAGTGCAATGTGTGTGGAGGAAGACAGCTAAGATTTTTTAAAAATCCTAGAAGAAAAAGAAAAATAAGGAGAATAGTTGGAGGTGTTGTATGTCAAGTCAATTTGTTGAAATTGGCATACAAGGCTAAATAAATATACAGTAGTCAATCTATCTTTTTTTCTTTAGGTTGGAGAAGTGGAGAATTAGGGGGAAAAAGTAGTATTTTTAAATATTTGAAGGATTGTTATATAAAGGATACAATACAATTGTTCAGAGTTGTTTGAGCAAAAATGAGAAGAAGTAAAAAGAAAGAATTAGATCTAAGTCGAAAACCTAGTTTGGTGTTGAATTAAAGGTATTATGGTAGAAACAGAAAAATTAAGTTACAATGCCTTAGAGACCAAGCGAACTGCATGAGGTTTAGCCCTAAGAAGTGGGTTACAATGGCAAATCATTTCTAAAACTATGTTGTGTCAAGAGTTCATGCAGTTGCCAGTAGTAAAACTGACTCAAAAACACACACACAAAAGCAGCTGGTCATTAGGAAAAATATGTGCAATCAATAAAAAAAATATATTCAAAAATATTTTAGGAAAATGATGGACTTTGATGGAGATTCTTAAACAGAAGCTTGAGGATAATATTACAGTAGTATAATCTTCAACTGTGTAATGACTACACTGTTTGGAGTAGAAGAGATCCATATACCTTTCACTTCTTGCTTTCTGTAATAATACAAAATGTATGGGTTCCTATCATGCATGTGCTAGACCTAGAACTAGGTTTTGACAAAGTCGGGGAAGAATGTCTTCCATTTTGAAGGATGCTAAGCCAATGTTAGTGTGTACACTAATGCTCTCATATCTTTTCTGTCCGTCCCCACCCCCGGTTGACTGGAAATCATGCTACTGAATGTCTGCAATCATAATACCAAAATTTAGGAAAAAAGTAGTTGTGGGTCACTTGAAAATTGGCTCAGAGGTTTCCAAATACTGGTCTATACCTTCAAAAAGTTCATGAATAGTAAAGTTTATTCCCTTGGATCCAACTATATAAAATGGATTTAGATTTTATGATCTTGGGAAAATAAACTGAACACAAAGAATGTGTGTGTGTGTGGGGGGGGGTAGTCAAGAGAGTTCCTATGTTTTCCCTTCTGTTTTATGATCAGCATTTTCCAGATCCTGTCAACATGTGCCAGTCTCTTTGTATTAAATCTCAGTTTATTCCACTGGGAAAGAGAAAAACTAAGTAAAAAAAAGGTGCAGAAAATTAAAATGTGTTTGCAGTTTTGCTCCCATTCTGTAATTCTATTTTACATATACTTTTATTTATTTCTTATGAGGACCCATAAGTATGTAATGAAGAATTTGTTCTAGTTATCCTTCTCGCTGAAAAAACTCTAATCAGATTTACTGCAAATATGGATTTTTCAGAAGTCAAACTAAAGTTAGAATTTAAAATGATGATTAATCAGTAGCAGACTTAACTATTAAAACTATTAAGGAAGGAAGACTTGCCATACTCAGGACATTATTCAGTACATATCTTTTGTATTTTTTATATATTTTTATGATGAATGTATTTTTATGATGAATATGATCATGATTTACCACTTATAGCTTTTATGTACACTGAGAGCTTATGCACTGGAGACAAATTCCTTGTGTGTCTAATCACACTTGGCCAATAAAGAATATTCTATTCTATGCACTGTGTGCTGAATAATAGGAATGAATAAACCTTTGTACTGGTCCTCTTAGATTAAAATGGGCAAAAGTGATAGGTAGAATATAAGATCATGCTCATACAGTAATTGTTCTCTCACACAAACAGCATTAATTAAACACCATTAAGCAAAGCCTTTTGGCCTCCAAAACTGAAATAAAATGACATTGAAAGATATAAAATCTAAATAACATTAGCTACATGGATAAGATTAATGCTACTCTGAAGACATCGGTGATTCAGAAGCATTCTTTTTTATTGCTTAATGTAAGAAAGGGTAGCATTGATACTCACCATACTGGTGCCAACACCTGGCCCATTGGCAAACTGACATTCTTCTGCATGGCCATTACAGAAGCAACTGCCACGGACAATTAGGTCATAGATGGCATAATGGGCAAATCTGTGCGGTTTCTCCAGCAGTCCCGAGCCTTGGCAAGGACACTCTTGCCTCTTTAATAAAAGGAGCCGCAAATTGGTGAGCTTCAAGACAGCTTGTGCTTCAGGACTGTATGGATCTTCAATCTTGTTAGTAGGCGTTAAAGCACGGAAGATCACCTGAAAAGGGAAAGAGAATAGTGTTAAATATACATACGGGTGGGTGAGTGAGTGAGTGAGTGTGTGTGTGTGTGAGAGAGAGAGAGAGAGAGAGAGAGAGAGAGAGAGAGGGAGAGGGAGAGGGAGA